AAGAGCGTGAAGCCACGGTAATACTCAAACAGAATGCAGCCAGTACTCCAGACGTCGCACGGCTGCGCCCAGCCCAGCTCTGCAAAGAGAATCAAGTTACCTCTGCGCTCCCAACAAGTCTCACCAGATTTCTACTAGTTCCTTGTCAAAACTGCGGGGATTATGCAAATACGGACCTAGAAGTTATCTGTGCACTTGTCGGTGCTGCACACTGGGTGAGAGGACTGTCGCTTCCCCCCCCAGATGTTTCTGTTTCAGCTTATGCTGACTCTACGTTCCCCTGGAGCCAGTTTGAACTCTTCCTGAGTCTCACCAGCCTTTCTTGGCTCTCTGCACCCCATGACAAGGGCCTGCACTACCCATTATCACCTTCCACACCATCAGGCCCTTGGGACCACTGAGGTGGTGTTGCAGCAACACACGGAGCAGGCTGTCCCCAAGAACTTGGGAGTACTCTCGAGATGGTTTTCCTCTAGACAGCGTCATCCTACAGCATCCCCAGGACAACTGTTCTCCTCCACCTCCCGAAACCCCAGCAGTACTCACCCAGAATCACTTCTGGTGGACGGTAGTGCCGGGTAGCCACGATGGTGGTGTGGTGCTCGTGATCAAAGGTGGCACTTCCAAAGTCTGCCACACGGATGCTTGTGTTCCGAATGGATTTCTCCTCACAGCTCTGCAAGCAAACAAGAATTCCTCAGTGCTTCTAGTAGCTGGCTCAGAATTAAGCCAGGCTTTGAGAGAAGCCCTCTGACCCCAGAACTGCCATGTCTGCGCTAATCAGAAGGGTCGTAACTGTGAAGCTCGGAGCTCTTTACATCTCCGATCAGTGTTGAGGACAGCTGCTGAAGCAGCCTTAAGGCTTTTAAAATATATGGGAGAAAGAAGAGGCCCAGCTTCCAGTTTGTTCTCACTAAATTGACTTCTAAGGCCCTGTGGGGCGTGTATGGAACGGGGAAGATCCAAGTTCTGCAGGGAGGGAAAGATGGGCTGTTCTCAATCTACTCTTTTGGACATAACCCACCTTTTTCTCATTGTACAGAGTGTCAAAATCTGAGTTGACAAACAAGATGTTTTCTGGCTTGAGGTCAGTGTGAGTCAGCTGGTTGTCATGTAGAACTGCATAGGTGGAGAGAAGAAAAAGAAAAATATATGTATGAAGCACCCATAAAACTCTGCCCATTAAAGGGCCATGCCAGCTCCTCCTCGGCTCCTTCCCAACCCATTCCGGTGACACACCACGGCCTAGCTGTGGACAAGGTATTTCTGATGCAGAGAAGGCACCTTTTGCATGGAATAGCTTACAGGTCTGCCTTCCATTCCTTTCAGAAGGAAAAGGAAGCGAATCTAAAGGCTACTGCTCTATCCTCCACAGAAATCAGCATCTCTTATCTTTGTGTCAGCTTCAGAAAAGGAGGAAAAAATAGCTAGAATATCCAGATCTGTTTTGGGTTAAAAAGGAGGGGAAAAAAAGTGCAGGTGCTGAAGAACAAACAGGTGCTGGCAAGCCCACAGGCTGGCCCCAGGTGACTTACATCTCAAGGCATGGCAGAGCTGGTAGGCCATGTGCCGGATCTGAGGGAGAGGGTAGGGCTGGAAGTTATTCTCCTTCAGGAACTCAAAAGTGTTCTTGCCCAGCAGCTCAAAGGCAATGCACATGTGGCCATGGAAGTTGAACCAGTCTGACATCAGGACACACAAGCTGTGAAGTGAGAACGACATGAGGATTAACCATCGTTCGGGGACTTGACAACAGTCATTCTCCTGGTTGCTAGCTACTTCAGAAGTGGTTAGTGAGCAAAAACTTGGAGCCAGCTGACTCTGAAACACAGTAATCCCTCTGTGTACACTGGAGAGCTGCCCTCTCCCCACTTTGCTCAACCACCTTTAGATAGAGATCTCCCATTCAAGTGGGACAAGGCAGCAGGTGGCCATTAGAGAAGAAATTCTGGCTAATTTTTTCTCACTATGACCTGGCATGTCAGTTGTTAAAGAGTTTAAGTAAACAAGTGTTCAGTAGAACTAGAGCCAGAGTCCGCATTCTGGAAGAACGGAGGAATGAGAGGTTTTTCCCCCCACAGGAGGCAGGTCGCAGATATTCCGGCCCTCAGTGCTGTATTTCTTTGGACATCGCCCAAGCAGACCACTTGTCTGTAAGGATGCAGTACTGAGCCAGCAGCCTCACAGGAACTTACAATTTGTTCTCCTTGTCCTTCTCTTTGATTTTTTTCAGGACGTTGATTTCCAGCCTGGCTGCTTCTCGGTACTTTCCAACATTTTTTATGATTTTCAGTGCCACCTGAGATTTGCCTCTGTAAGGGAAGAGACAAAAAAGATGGAGTCAGAGAAGAAGCCTATGTATGCACATCCTCAGGCCGCAGGGTCACAGCACATCCCCCTTACTCCAGTCACGTTTTCTTGTGTTAAGAGGCTTAGGCATGGCTGGGTCCCAACAAAGCGCTTGAGCTCTGCCAAGGATTTATGCCGCTTGCCCAGCAGTTAAGTACCCACATGGAAATCTGAAGTGTGAGGCTCTTGCTGGGTAACGCTCCAAAGAGAGCTGCAGACAGCTCTGCAAGCACACCATTTCCTGACACAGCAGTCCGTAAGGTCGCTGCGCCTCCAGCAGCTGCCTCCTCTCTTTAACCATGCCAGAGAGATTTCCGAGGAGGCAGGAGATCCCAGCAGCTCCTATGCTAAGCTGACCCCACAGCTCAGAGCCAGACAAAAGGTCAGGAAGAGACAGGGGTCAAGTGTAATCACAGGAGAGGTTAAAAAAAAATAATAGAGAAGTACCCCGACAGATTAAGAGGTCACTTTCCCCAGCTGCCTGGCCCATCCCTCTGCCCGAGTTCGCTGCTTTTGCAGCAGAACAGCCTGTGCCAAAGCCCTCAGCCACTGAACAAACTCCCCTGCTCCCCTTAACACATAGGCCTGCAGACGCAGAGGGCGTCGAGGTACAAACCAGGCCCCTTCCACTTGCTAGGAGAAATAACCTCTACCACAGAGGCAAGTGGAAGGTGACAACGAGAGTTCAGTCCAGCAGAGTTTGGGCCCACACAAAACTGGCAGCATTAATCCTGCCACACTTGTGAGTGTCTGGGCTTGATGGGCAAGGGAGAGACAAGTTCTTGGAATGACACCCACCTGGCATGGTCCACACACTCCACCACTTTGCCAAAAGTGCCTTCGCCAAGGCTGCCGACAATTTCATCTAGGAGAGAAAACAGGAGCGGACGTGAACTTCGGAGGCTTGGCAAGAGCTGAGGTCCTGCAATTTCACAGCAATAAAATGTCTCTCACTGCTACACTCTTTAAAACTCAAGCGTCTATTGTCTGCCTCAGGCAATTTACTGGTCAGTCCATTTATAAGCAATAAAACACTAGAGACCCCTCCAGTACAATACGAGAGATCTCGTCTAACATGGGGATAGAAAGTAGAGAGGTAAAGTTTTACGAAAGGTGGCTGTACATCGCTCTTGAAGCCAATCGCCGATCCTGCACACCAGGTGGCCTTCCTTGTCATCTTCCACGCTCCTGCTGCGCTTACTGCTCTGTTGGCTTCTCTGTACACACCGCCCCCCGAAACGGCATACGACCAAGCGCGCACAGCGGGCAGTTCCGAGTGGCAGGATTGTGTTGTCATTCAAAGGTGGAGATGATGGTGCGTCGGTGGTTGGATTTTCCAGATCCCAGCATTTCATAAGGCACACAGCATATATAACGATAGGGATATTGCAAGGGACACGTCAAGACACAAACTAACTTCAAAACAGAAAAGTCATCAACAGCTACAGGTATGTAAAGAAAACTCTCTCATTAGCTATGGCCTCTGGTGCTGCCACCTCTTAGGCAGGAAAATGCCCCCCTCTTCTCTGAAGGGAAGCAGCAGCTGGGAAGCTCCAGTGTTAAGGCGGCTTGGCTTGGCACCGCCATTCCCCAGAGAGGAGCAGCTTCCTCCCCAGCACCGGAGGATGCTGCCAGAGGCACAAGAAGAAGGAGGGCTTTGCCAGAAGAACGTCATTTTCTCCGCTGGCAAACATGATGAAGGGTATACGAGCTGTCAGTTTGGACAAGCTGTCCAGTAGAAGCCAGAGTAGCAGTTCTCCCTCTGCACAGCCTGCTCTTTTGTACCTCAGTTAATAGATCGCCAGCGACCCAGAGCCTTGTCCCGCCCTGGCCACCAACCAGCCCTTCCCTTCTTGACAGAACCAGCTACCACACCAATCCTAAATCCGTACGCCCGACTGGCTGCAAACAGACCTGGCGTTGCGCATCGGCCTTAGGATGCAATTTTAAGCCCAGGAGAACTTTAGGAACAGGACGGTTAAATTAATCCCTGGGGAGCATTTCACTCCACTTCAGGTATCCGCTAAAGGTATGAGGTCACGTTCGCCCCTGCTACTGCGAGCTTCTACTGGAAAACCAGCCGAACATTCCCGAAAGGACCCAGGGTCCACAAAGCAAGCTGCCCTAATTCCTGATCTTTTTCTGTTCAGCCTTTAAAAATAGTTACCATCTCCACAGCCAGAGAAACTAATGCAAAGCTCTATGTTTCCACGCCCGAGCTTCTATCAGGATTCTCTTCTGTGCCCCTTGCCCCCCCCCTCCCGGCTAGTTCAAAATAACGAGCTACGATCAAACCCCAAAAGGTCAGAAGGGAGAGAGGACAGTTGAGACAGCTGTGAGACTGCAAAGGATTTAGATCACACCGGCCCAAACCTGCACACCGTTATCACCGCACGCACACACACAAACCGCACTGGAGTGTATTCATAGTAACCCTTTCTCAAACTAAAATTAAAAAGTCAACACGAAAGAAAAGGAGGGAAGCAACAGACCATCAGAAGCTCCCAGCCATGCAGATATCTGTCCACTGTTAACTGCAGGGATCAGGATTCGGTCATTTGTAATGACATTTAAAAACAACAAACTTGCGAAAAGCGGAAACGTTCCGTACAGGAGAGAAGCAGTGAAGCAGAGACATTTGGTCTGATACCTCACACCACTTCCAGGGTATTCCTGGTCCCAGGACCAGCCTCCCCACCCAGTTCCAACTATTGCATGTTAATCCTCAAAAGGAATACTACATTTCAGGGTGGAAAATGGGGAAGTTTTTGAAGAAGCTGAAAGCCAAGGACACTTGTGTGCGAACAGGCAGAGAGGACACGTGCATATCCTCAGAAGGTGGAAGCCTTTCTCTAAGTACAGTGGGACAGGGGTTAATAATCACAGGGCTAATGACCCAGGAGAACCGGGCTGATTGATCCCATCTGGTATGGGATCCCGGCACAAAGTCAAATTGCCATGCCTTCACAGGAGTGCTCTGTACCACCGCTGCATACCAACTCCCCCCCCCCCAAAAGCAGCAGAGTACGCAGAAGCGAAGCCCTAGCCGTGTTTAAACCCGAACAATGACTGATCCCCAGCAGCCAGGCTGGCCCATGGCCAGGGCTTGCCCTCATTAGCGATCACGTGTGTGCCATTTGAAGCTTTCCCTGATCCCCTCCCTGGCTGTAAAGAACACCACTTAGTTTCCTCGCGTTATTAAAGCTACAGGGGCTGGACTAGGAAAAACCAAGAGCTACAAACGCCTCCCGCTTAACAAGACACAGATTTAGGACTATACATTCCACATCATGAGAACAAACACAAAAATGGGATTAGAGGTACTCACCCAGAGTGTTCAGAGCTGAAAGGAGGTAAGAACAGTTAAAAACCTGAACCATCCTGAACTCATTTTGGATGCTACTCACCGAGGAGGCACTGCTACAAGACCTGGTCCTGCGTTTCCGGCAGTGATGCTGATGCTTCTTTGGACGGTGCTGCTCTCTGCCTCTGGATCGCCGCCAGTTCCGTGAGCGGGTCGAGTAATAGTCCTCTCCAAAAGATGGGCTTCGGTCTTCAAATCTGTAGGCATCGCTGTCCCGTCTGTACCTCCTGTGATAAGGCATCCTGTCATGGCTGTAGCACAGACAAGAACGTGTTTATAAGCCTGGAAAAGCATGAAAGGCAGAGTCCCACTGAAACAAAGTGCTCTTACTCCCGTTCCCTGATGGCAGGGGAAAAACTGCAAGCGTCCCAGCTTCAAACCACCCCTCCATGTGGCTCCACTGCTGACCACTTCTCAGCCAAGTTTATCAGATATAGAAAAAGGAGAAAGTTTGCAAGAGAAGATGGTGTGGCACTCCCATGTTTCAAAGAGCCAGGGGGGAGAAACCATCCGCTTAGAGCTCGATCTGAGCTGCCTACCTCATCGGAGCCACCTCCACCACCGTACCCCAGTGTTTTCCTAACGTCGTTTCTCCTCCCCCAGGAAGGGCTCTAATTAGTCCCTGAACAAACGAGAGTCCCCTAAACACCAAGCCTTTGGTGGCCACATACCCACCAGCTCAACAGATCATTAGCAAGAGCCAGAAGGGAAATTTGGTCTCCGCAGTGCAGTCAAGCTCCCGCGCCTCTAGTGACAACTGAGGGCTGTGAGTACGTAAGGGAAACTCGCGGCCAAGCTCACCTCTCCATCGGGAAGGGCTGGGAGACAACAGACAAAGCTCCCCTGCGTGAGTATTTACACGCTGGCATTGCACACGCAGTTTTAGGTACTGTGCGTGCACATTAACAATGCCCTGCACTCAATTAGAGAGTATCCATGAGCCCCATGTGCCTCAAGCTAGAACTGCGATTCCAGAACTCCTGCCTTTTCCTCTGCGGGCCCCCATGTGCTCCCTTGGCAGCACCGTTCCAGTACCTCTTAAACCGAAGAGCAGAAACGGTCTTGCGTAGCAGTTGGCCTGCTTGTACCCCCAAAAACATGACTGTCTTCTCCACCCCAGCCGTTACAGTTGGCCTGATAAACCAGCTTCTGCTACAAGCCTTGCTTCACATGCCACCGAGCGAGAAGCCACGTCTTGGGTAGAAATAAGAGTGTCTTGGCTTTCCAGTGATAAACAGCAGTATTTTGAGCAAACGCCCGGCCACGCTGATGCTGCCGTATGTACCTAGCTGTCAGTGAGAGAAACAGCTTCTCCAACCAAAACCTTGCTACAGCACTTCAGCCTGGGAACAGGAACACGTAGCGCTCTCGCTGACAGCTTAACGGGACGCAGGTAGGCGTGGGGTGGTTCAGCTCAGCTTGGATCAAGACTAAAATGTCAATCTGCCTGCCAAGACAGCAGAGGCACTAGGTCACCACTGAACTATCCAAAACACACAAAAAGCCACCCCTGATTCCATTCCAACACCGATATACTCGACTCCAAACCTTTGTGAAACTTTGGGGGGGTACTTTTAAGCCAGAGGATTCAGAAATAACAACCTAAAGTTACAGAGGAGACCAGCAGACCTGCAAGAGGCTCGCAGCCCAAGACTAAAGGGGCAAGAAGGTTTTCACGCCGCAAAAGCCTGTTTTCATCCAGATCTGTCCCACAGAACCCATTGGAGGAAAGGATGGAGAAGCGTCAGCTGTATTTCACAATCCGCTTCCTTCAGGTAAACAACAGCCAGGCTCGGAAGAACAATTAGCCTGTAGAACATTTCGGGAATTTAAGGATGAACTCAGCTCCCTACATGGCTGCACCCGCCCCATTTGACTGCTAGAACCACACCAGCCCCGGTACTACCGAGCAGCGAGGACCACTGGCCTATTTCAGTTGCACACCACCACGCGTCAGCACCCATCTCCCCGTCAACGCTCCCGCCTCTGTTCTGGAACCCTCACCTTATCCACCCCGTTTCCAGTACCTAATTGTCCCCGTGGAAATGCTGAACAAAGAGAGGATCAAAGGTAAAATCCAGAGCCGAAGCAGGAAAGATCGGTTAGCAATGCTCGGATCCTTTCTGACAGCGTAGGTGAGGGAAAAGTATTGTCGCTTTAGATCTGATTCTGTAATAATTTCAGGAGGAAACAGGTTGTCAGGAAAGACTTTAATGCCCCCATGGCACTAGAACGGGGAAATGCCATTCCAGAGCAGGCTGTTCTCCCTCATTAGTATTAAAGGCATTGCTTTGGGAAGAACTTTTGGCTCGACATGGAGGCAGAAACATAAGGGAAGGTGCACACAATTAAGCCCTTTACTTCCAGCCCGGGGATTTACAGGTTTAAAGCTGGTCCCCAGTCAGGAAACGAAAGCTGCCGGCACTCGGTGCTAGCTTTGAAATGCAACCGGAATTGAGGACAAGCCTGTATTAGGAAACGGCCCCTGCTCCCTCACTCCCCTCTGCCAGGGGGACCCTGCCTCCCTCTGCCCAAACCCGCTCTGACCTTCTCGATCGCGATCTCCTGGAGAGATCCCTCCGGGGTGGGTATCGCAGTCTCCCCTCGTACTCTCTGCTACGAGACCTCTTCCTCTTCCACCTGTGACCCAGGTAGCTCTCCTGTTCCGGGGACCGGTATCTCTTACAGTGATGCATCTGAGGACAACCAGAGGTTCCCGACTCTTAAAACCCCTCGCCCCTTGGCGCTTCACCCGCTCCCCGGAGGAAGCCGGGGCCTCCCCACCCCACGCGGCTCCCCAGCCCCACGGGTGCAGACGGGGCCCACCCCAAAGGGCGCAGAGTGCCACGGTGCAAACCACCGCCGACCTCTGCCGGCGCTCAAGGTTTTCAGTCGGAGGCCGCCCCCCG